TGTGCCTAAAAGCTACAAGTAGCAAAGCTGTGCCTAAAAGCTACAAGTTGCAAAGTTGTGCCTAAAAGCTACAAGTAGCATAGCTGTAACTAAAAGCTACAAATAGCATAGCTGTAGTTAAAAGCTACAAGTAGCATAGCTGTGGCTAAAAGCTACAAGTAGTAAAGCTGTATCTATATGCTGCAAGTAGCGTAGCTGTAGCTAAAAGCTGCAAATAACAAAGACTAAAGACCAAAAAAGCAAAACCATAAAGGCTAAGAGTAGCAAAACTGGATAAAATATAAAAAAAATAAACAAAAAGTAAAAAGTAGGAAATACATAACTAAAAGCTAAAATTAGCATAAAATCTTTAAGTGTTTAAGTAATCTTAGACAAAACTCATCCAGTCATTTTATTGCATTTTTAGTGAATCTGTTTTTCATATTGTTTGCAGATTATGTTTCCAAATTATTTTATCTTCAGTTTTTGTAACACCTTTGAGGAGTAAACAGTGGTGCAACTCTGCTCTTTTCACATCTGTAAGCTGACGGTTGAAATATAAACATTCATTAAACGTTAGGAGGTAAGGATCCTGAATAAAGCATGAAGGAAGAACATTTTTAGGTGGTTGAAAAGCTTTAAATCAGAATATGCTTCAGCGCATTGGGAACTCCCCTGGGTTTCTTTTGTGTGTGTGTGTGTGGGGGGGGGGGGGGGGAGTAAAGGAGACTCATAATTTATCATCAGTTTTTAGAAAGTTTGAAGCAAAGCTGCATAGACTTGTGGAGGTTTTGTTTAGGGAAGACGTTCCATCGGGCTGTCGTATCAAATGTTTTCTTTCATGTTTTCTTTTGGACTTTTTTGATTGTTTATTTATTTGTTTTGTTTTTAATAACGTGATTCTCTGTCTCTCTCTCTGTGGTGGCTGTGCAGTCCAGAACTCCAGCGCTCGTCTTTGAATGCATCAATAACACAGACTTTAAGGTAAAATCGCTTCTTGTTTGCCTGATCTGTGACACTTTCTTTATTCTCACCTGCTGCTAAAGACGCACGTGTGTGTTTATTTCACTGCTGTGTTATCAAAATATTAACCTATAAATGAATTTTCATTAAACTCAAACTAATCATTGAATGAACATTTACTGGTTAATTAGTTAGTACCAGTACATCTAATTTAAGATGGCTACCACTGCTGACCTTAGCCAACACAAAACTGTCTCTAACTCAAGTCACTTTTACAGATATTGAGCAAAACTTTATTGTGGTAGTAGCTGAGAGTCCTCCCCAACACACACTCAGAGAGCTAACACATCTCACACATAACATTTATGAGGTTCAAACAAAGCTGCTTTAACTTCATCCTTTTATCTTAAGATGATCTTAAAAATTGGTGATTAAAGGCGGTGGGCAATAAGCATCTCTTCAAGTAATTCTATGTCTTTATTCTTTATTCTGTCTTGTTTTTAAACGTCCGTCAAAAGGCGGACGTATTATAATATAGTCTCTGTTCATCCGTAAACGTTCTCTTGTCCCACCTATAACTTCTTATCCGCTTAAGATAATTTAACAAAATTTCATACACATATCCACCATCAGCAGCCGGAGTGATGCATACGCTTTTCATCACCCCAGCTAAGGTCAAGCTCCAGGGCGTCTGCGCATCCTCAAAAAGTCTTCAATTCATGAATCTAAAATTAAGGCCTTAAACTGTCTTAAATTCATTAAAGAATGTGTCAGTTGGTCTGAAATACGTTTTCTCAAAAGTCTTAAAATTTGTCGGGGCAGGAGGGATAAATGTTCTCCTTCGCCAAGATCGATTTTTGTCATCTGTAAAAATGATGAGGGGGAAAAAATGGGTTTAAAGCCATCCAATGTACAGGATTAAACCGATTCAACAAATAAACAGAACCACAGCCAGTTTGACCCAATCATAGCAGAGCAGGGCAGGTCGTGCTGTCTGATACACAGCGAGTCCAGAGCAGAAACAGACTGCAGGTGAGAGCACCAATCAGAGTTTCCTGGACTGTTTTCTAAGACGCCTCTCTACCCTAACCAAAGTGATGACGTGTAATAAATTATTAAACGTATGTGTTGGCAAGTGACCAATTCACTGCAGCCGAGGGAGATACCAGAACTGATACACCATCACCCCAACCTCCTGGGACTTTTGTATCTAAAATGTAATATATATTATATTATATTAGTCAGAGTCAGAGTTTCTTTATTGTCATTCGCACCTCATGTGGTACATGTGGTGGAGCGAAATTATGTACACAGAGTCCCAGTTACATCCAACAATAAAATGTATAAGAAAAACAGTAATAACATCTAAGATATGAACTAAGAAAAACATCAACTAAATATACACTAAGCACTCATAACATAAAACATTGAACATCAGCACAAACATGAACATGAGTCTGTGAGCAGATGTGCACGCATGAACACATCAACATTGAAACAGATCAGCAGCAACATGAAACAGATCAGCAGCAACATGAAACAGATCAGCAGCAACATGAAACAGATCAGCAGCAACATGATATGGTTTTTCACAGTGATTATTCTAGTTAGAGATTCATGAGTCTAACAGCCTCAGGGTAGAAGCTGTTCCTCAGTCTAGTGGTTCTACATTTAATGCTCCTGTGCTGTAGATATTATATTAAAGATTAATGTGTTCAGAGCGTCGTCATTGTACAGACATGTACAACCTGTGCAGGTGACCAAACTCAGGGTCAGAGAGAGAGCTCAGCCTGAGTGTCTCACAGTGAGGGAGGAGGCTGCCTGCTGCTTTAGTTCTTATAAATAAACTATATTCATGTTAAAAGATGAGTATTTATTTACACCAGATTGTAACAGAGATGTGTCTCTGTGAGAGTCAGTTTCAGTTGTTTTGTAGTTTATCATAAATATCTGCTAATTTAATATTTACAAGGTGTTTATTAAGCAAGATGTTATGGTTGTTTGGATGAGCTAAAGATTATTTTTAAAATCATACGGAGAGGTAACTACTGTGATAAATGTAATTTAATAAATGATCAGATATGAAAAATAATTAGTATTAAATTACTAAAATCCTGTAAATAAAATCAATACATCCATTATTTTTACCCGCTTCCTTTTTTTGGGTCGAGGACGTCACTGGTGTCCATATCCAGCAGTCACTGTGCTTTCTACTAGCTGCTGATAAATACACTAGCTAGCTATTCTGCAACTAAATGTTGTGTTGGTGCAAATGTCTGGACAGCTGGCCAGACGACGTCTTTGTGTCTGAAGACAAAACTGGAGATAATAAAAACAATCGAGCCTCATGCCATGGATGTATTCAGCAGATGTCTGTTTCTGTTGCATGTTTCCAACCAAATATCTGCACTTGTGAGTGAAGCTGTTGAAGCAGAGAGCCCTGAATATCACTTTATGTTCAATAAACAGAAATTAAACCTGAACGTGTGTCACTGAGTGGCACACGCAGCATGATCCCACAGCCATCGTCTGTATTTTAGGTTCGATCTTAAATTTCATTCAAGGTGGCTTTAAAAATTCTTACATTAGACTTGCTGAAACCTGCGAATACACTGAGATCACAAATTGAGGTCAAAGGTTATACAAAATCCTTGCTTGTCCAGGCCTTTGCTTGAGATTGGATTGCTGTATAATAGTTTGTTGACGGGGTATATTGTGCCGTACTCTTGTTAAATTTTGTTGCACGTAATTTTTCAGGCTTTCATCTGATGCAGATTTGTTTGATCTGTGCAGGAGTTGTACCAGAAGCTGACAGATTATGACATCCGTTTCTACATGTATGAACTGCTGAAGGTGAGACTGTACTCATTTAAATAACATCTGCCTCTCGGATCTTATCTGATTCGTACGTTTGTTTATTCTGATGTGGTGTTTGTGCGTCAGGCTCTGGACTACTGTCACAGCATGGGCATCATGCACCGTGACGTTAAACCTCACAATGTGATGATCGACCACCAGTTAAGAAAGGTTGGTGGTGCTTTTTATAGTCTCCTATTTTTCCCCTCTCACACTCCCACACTCTGAATATTATCTCTCATCCTGCTGTTTCAGCTCCTCTGCTGTGTTCCCTGCTTATTTTCTCTCATGTTTCATGTTTCTGAGTGGGGGGTCACATTATTTTAGGCCTTCAGCCACACAGACTGGTAATGTGAGAGCATAGAGAGTGGGACTTTTAGAATAAGAGCAGATCTAAATAAATTGGCGCCATGCTGCTGTTTGTTGGTCATAAGTGTGCATACAGGTTGTAAGAGTGGTAATACTTGTGTTAGTTGCCTTACAACTTGACATTTCAAGAGATTTTAAAATTGATTCATAAGTAACAAATATTCACAGAATTTTTGAGATTATTAAAATTAAATGAAGAAACCACCTTTGACTTTGGCTTATTGTTAAATATTTAATACATGAAAGAAAATGTCAACAATTGTCTGTGAGCGACTCAGGCAGTGATATTTAATTTACATTTAATTTTAGCAAACAATGAGCATCTATTTTAGTAAGATGGCAGCTCCTTCATAAAAACAGTATGCAGCACAAACTTTTAAAAATCATCCTTTTTACTTTGTTGCATGTGAATATGCAAAGTCCAAAGTGTCAAAAACTAAAGAAAACGTGAGAAATTGCTAAAACCCTACGAAAAAATATACAGTTTGTCCAGCAGGGGGCAGCAATGTAATAATATATTGTTATACATATTATAAATGAGAGAGACCTGAATTATTTCGAGCAGACTGTGCTGGGCCCAGTTTTGGATGCAGATAATAAAGGCTGGTGTTTCCTGAAGGAATGCATATCACCCGCCGCCTTTTATTCCAGAGCTTTAGACTAAGATCTTCTTATGTTGAGAAATAAATGAGTTGCAGCCGTTTTGATTAAACCTTAAAAATAAAATTATGTGTGCTACCAAAAGAAGTTGAGCGAGTCGAGTGATAGCTAATGCATCAAAAGGTACCTCAATATCTGTAAAACTGTTATGGAGCCACTTTTTTGTTGTTGCTCATTTACACTAGCTGTAGTGGCCATCTTGAATTGTGCTAGCTTCAAAAGTTAAAAGTTTTAGTGGCGATGATTATTTTTTTGAACGTTGCATTGAAACTCACTCAGTAGGTCACATGGTATTTTGCTAACAGACAGCATGGATTTCGAACATTTGATGGAAAACTTTAAAACAAAAATCTTGCTCAATCTGTTAGGGCATATATGTGTTGGGGCTCAGTCTCAGCTACAACCACACTTGTTTTTCGATTAATATCTGTAAAATTGATTGAACTTGAGCCTCTTTGTTTTTTTAGGTCAGTTGGTAGTGGCAGCCATTTTAAGTCAAGTTGACCCCCAAAGTGAACCTGTTGTTGCAGATAAACATCTAATTGTTTTTCAGTTACATTAACATTCATCAGGTGGCTAATAAAACACATTAGCAACAAATTCACAAACACGTCCTAATAATCACAGATACGAGCTCAGACATTATCACCTACTTTCACTTATTGGTAGTAGGTGATCATAATATTATTAACCCTTTTCAATCCTGTCATTTTTATTTATTTGTATCCTTTTTTCCCCAGGTGGAATTAGTTCATGTTTTCATGGTGACAAAATCATTCCTCTTGTTTCTTTCTGGTAGTGATTTTGCGCTGAGTCGTTATGAAGGGGTTTAGTTTGCGAGAAACTAAATGAGAACATGTGAAAAGGCAAACGTGAAATAAGAGAATTTGAAACCAATCAATAAAAAGTTTGATGATCTTTGTAACGAAGCGTGTTCGTCTTTCCAGCTGCGTCTTATAGACTGGGGTTTGGCTGAGTTCTACCACCCGTCCCAAGAGTACAACGTCCGAGTGGCCTCGCGTTACTTCAAAGGCCCCGAGCTGCTGGTGGACTACCAGGTAACAAACACCTGAAACCAGACAACCCAGCTGTTGTTACAAACCCAGAACCACCCTGTGCTTATCATCTTCTGTGCTGTTTTGGGTTTTGTGTGTGTTGCAGATGTATGACTACAGTCTGGACATGTGGAGTTTGGGCTGCATGCTGGCCAGTATGATCTTTCAGAAAGAACCGTTTTTCCACGGACAAGACAACTACGACCAGGTACCTGAGGACATGTGCATGAGACAAATAAATACGAGTTATTGATTCCACCTGTAATAAATATGTCTTCTTCATTCTGGTTCTCTATCTGTAGAGTAACCGACAGGGGGCGCTGTTGCTTCTCATAAGACCGTTCTAGATGCTAAAAGTCAGAGCTAAAGCACAGTTTGAATCAGTTTATAGTCAGCTGCTGTTTTTAATGCTCGTCTTTTAAAGGTTGACTTGGGTTGTAACGGTATTTTACTTCTTTTAGATTTAACCGCTGCCTTTGATACAGTCAATCACAGCATCCTTTTATCAAGACCTGAACAGGTTGTTGGTCTTAAAGGCTCGGATTTAGCTCGGTTCAAGTTTTATTTAGCGGACAGGACCTTTTCCATTTCCATGGGGAATACTCTTCATCGGCATCTATTCATTGTGGTGTACCTCAAGGGGCTATTTTGGGTCCTATTTGTTATTCTGTTTATACTTGCTGCCTTTGGGATCAGTTTTTAGAAAGCACATTTATTTCCATTGCTATGCTGATGACATCCAAGTATTTTTTTCCTTTTAAGTCAGATATCTCTGCCCCACTGCAGCCTCTCTTTAACTGTCTAAAGGAGGTTAAAGACTGGCTCTCTCAGAACTGTCTGGCCCTGAACGAAAACAAGACTGAAGTTGTTGTATTTGGAAATCGGATCCTGTGTGTGTTGACATTCTCGGCCCTCTTGCTCTTTAATAATAATAATAATGTGTTACGTGCCGTCATCACTGTATGTTCCCATACAATGGCAAAATTGGCTCTGCATTTAACCCATCGCACCTGGGATACACTCAGGTAGAGCAGTGGGCAACTATTGAAAGTGCCCGGGGAGCAAATGGGGATAGGATGTCCTGTTTAGAGACACCACGAGATGTACAATGACTGGGATCGAACCTGGGACTTTCGGGTCCCGAGTCGGCTGCCCTGCCTCTACCCCATCAAGGCCCCCAAAATGTTTGTTCCTCTGTAGTCAAGAATCTTCGAGTATATTTAGACATTCTTTTAAATTTGAGAAGCAAATATTCTCCGTTGTCAAATGTCAGTGCCAGTTTTTATCAGTTATGTGTAACAGCCAAATCAAAGTCTTGTATTCCTCCTAAAGACCTTGAAACTCTTTTCCATGTCTTCATCACCACCATACTGGACTATTACAATGCTTTATATGTTGGATCAGAACAATCGTCTCTCCATCACCTGCAGTTAGTCCAGAACGCTGCTGCACATCTTTGAACAGGAACCAGAAGGCAGGACCACATCGGTCCAGTTTTAGCAGATTTACACTGGCTGCCTGTTCATTTTCATATTGATTTTAAGATTTTTTTACTTACTTTAAAAGTTTTAAAAGGCTTGGCACCCAGTTACTTAATGGCTATTTTGCACTGACTGTTACAACCCAAACAGAGCACTGAGATCCTCCAGTCGGATGCTTTTAGTGCAGCCGAGGTCTAAATGAAAGCACAGAGGGCAACAGGTCTCTCTTGTAAATGAGTCCTCGAGGCTCAGTGAGACTAACCTGTATAAATAAAGGTTGAACGAATCAGGCTTTTGCTATAGCAGCACCCAGACTCTAGACAAACCTGCCCCCCTCTTGAACTCCCTTCCCATTGAGATTTGTCCTGCAGGGTCTGTCCAGTCCTTTAGTTCTCACCGAAAAACTCACTTTTTTGCACTGATTTTTAACTCGAGCTCAGTTTGAGTTCCATCTGAAACTCATAGGTGCGTTATTTTCTTGTTTTAGTTTGCTCTTAGCCTTTTTTTTTATTATTATTTTTGTGGTTTGTAATGTTTGATCTTTCACTTATTTTATTGCTAGATTTCCTGTTTGTGAAGCACTTTGGTCAACATTGCTGTTTTTAAATGTGCTATATGAATAAAATGGACATGAAACATTGGTCTCTTGTGGCTTCCAGCTGGTGCGAATAGCCAAAGTTCTGGGGACGGACGAGCTGTTTGGATACCTGCGTAAATACCACATCGAACTGGACCCCCGCTTCAAAGACCTACTGGGACAGTAAGTCCATTCCAAATTGTGATCCATTATTTTAACCACTTTGTTTTTCTTGGTCACAGAGGAGTTTGTGTCTGACTCCTGCAGCCTTTGTGTGAGAGGTGGAGTACACGGTGGACAGTTGCAGGTCCATCACAGGGCTGACTTCTGATGGGTTACAGGGCTGGAAGAGTTGGTGCAGAATCTGCCCTGATAGGTTATTCCAGCTCTGCAGCAACTGATCACTTGTTTATGATTCTACTTAACTTGCATGAAGTCTTTGGTGTCGTGGAAGTACTCAGTGATCAAACTGTAGCTGTCCGTCTCTGCAGGCAGAGCAGGAAACGCTGGGAACAGTTTGTTCAGACGGAAAACCAGCACTTAGTAAGCCCTGAAGCTCTGGATCTGTTGGATAAGCTGCTACGCTACGACCACCAGCAGAGGCTGACAGCCACCGAGGCCATGGAGCACCCCTACTTCTGTAAGCAACACGTGAACACTTTCCTCTTGGTCAAAAAGAGTCTGCTGGTTAGTTTTAGGCTGGTGATGTTTTGAATGTGGCTCCTGTCTTTTCATGCAGACCCTGTAGTAAAAGAACAGACTCTGTCAAACTCTGACAACAACATGGTTTCCAGTGGCAACACTACAGCACGATGAAAGGTAGAGTTCAACCATCAGGATCAGTTTGTAAAACAACAATTTGATCATTTTAACACATTTCTAATGTCTCCATGCTGGGAAAACTGCAACCAAAACATGCAACCTCTCTTGTGGAACCAACTTCCAGTTTCTGTCTGTAGGGCTGACACGTCCAGTTTAAGACTGGGCTTAAGACTTTCCTTTTTAATAAATCCTATAATTGGGGTCGGCTTGTTATGCTGTCTTGAACTTAGACTAATGGAGGACAAATTGACCTCATTTCCTTAAATGATTTGCTAAAATTGATTAGTTTTCATTTTATACTATTTCTATCTTAACATGTGATTCTTGACCTGCCATTGTGTATTTGTTCCTCTCAAACCCAGCCGGTCGAAGCAGATGGCCACTTGTCCTGAGCCTAGTTCTGCTAAAGGTTTCTTCCTCATGAGGGAGTTTTTCCTTTCCACTGTCGCCTTCATGCTTGCTCAAGATGAGTGTTTTGTGATGGAGTTAAATTCCAAGCAGTCTGCTCCTCAGATAAATCATGTTAAATTATTATTTTTATATATGAATGTTTCTGTTCAGTGCCCTGAGATGAGTTCTGCTGTGACTTGGCGCTACAGAAATAAACTGAACTGAATTGAATTAAAAGAATGACTGCAGTATCTCACACCAAAGGGGTTTTTGTAAGAAATGCCTTTTGTTTAATTTGTCCGGTGACGATACATTTATGTTGATTTGATTCACAAGTTGTTGTTGTTTTTTTGTTGTTTTTTAAGAATTACGACTATTCAATTCAATTCAGTTTATTTATATAGTGCCAAGTCACAACAGAAGTCATCTCAGCACTGTACAGAAACACTCGTATACATAAAAATTAAGCTAATAACATTATTTATCTAAGGAGCAGACTACTTTGAGTTTTTCATCGCAGACTCTCATCTTGAGCAAACATGAAGGCGACAGTGGAAAGGAAATGTTTATCTGATAGATTCCAGTTTGTAAATCTAAATAATAAATCAGCTTCTTACACCAAAGTTAGTCACGGAGTTTCTCAGGGTTCAGTGCTTGGACCAGTACTCTTTACTTTATATATGCTTCCACTAGGCAACGTTATTAAACAGCATGGGATAAATTTTCATTGCTTTGCTGATGATACACAGTTATATTTGTCCATGAAACCTAATGAATCTAATCACTTATGACCAAGCGTGCCGCTGCTCTTTAAGTCATAAGTGCCATATGTTTATCAACAGAAAACAAAAAGTTTCTACTTATCTTTCAGATGTCATACTTGTCCCCCTACCAGTAATAAAGTTTTGTGTAGCTTAAATCATTTTCTCTGTTAGTTGATCTCACTAAGGTTGTTGTTTGTTTTGACAGATGTGGAAGGAAGAAGGATGTTTGTTACCTCAACTTTGTACCTGCTTGTGTCAGAAACTTTGTTACAGCGACAGTCGATCAAAAGACCAGTCTCCCCGTACACACACACACACACACAATCAGAGCACACACACACTCCTCTGTGTCAGTCTGTGATTGGCTTGTCCTGGTTTCCAGTCTGACCAGTGAGCTTGAAGCTGCCCCCTCCCCCCATCCCCTCCTCCCTCCTTGACTGGTGTCTGACCCACCCCCTCCCTCCCTCCCTCCCTAGTCTGGTCTCATGTAGGTCAACAAAGACTTTTAAAGACAACTCAGTTTTCCCTTTTTATATTTTGTCCTCTTTTGATTGCATCAGCATGGAGAATGAACAGGAGTGTGAGCCTGTAGCCAAACCCCCACCCCAGATCTGACTATCCCACCCGTCTTTCTACGTCCCCCCCCCAACAGATGACAGGCGTCTCAGCACTATGGATCTGATGGCATGGTGGACTCTCAACATATAATGATAAATATTCTAATATTAATGACAAATAAATGATTTTTATTTAGATCAACTTCCTGTTTGTGACTTTTCCTTTGAGTCTGTGTTTCTGGAACACGATGACGAAGAGCCAAACCTCTGACTCACCTGTCTACCAGCTGTAGCATCCAACTGGTCTGAGCAACAAATAGGCAGCTTTGGTTGCTGGAAAAATAAAATTTCTCATAATTAGTTGGACTTAATTGGTAAAGCCCAAGAGGACAAATTTGGGCAAATCTGGAATCATGGAACGGCGCAGTAGGTGCTTCACTGACAGGAATGAACTGATTGGTACGTTTAAAGTAGTAACTTGCATTACTTGGATTCATCTGTGTTTATTTTTAAAGATTCATGGAGGAGAACGCTAAGATACGAGGTAATTTCTTAACTAAATGGGAAGAACTAAGATACAATATTGTGGGGAAAAAAAACATATCCCTACAAGTTTCTTCCATTTTTGCTTATTGTCACTTAAATGTTTAAAATCATTACATCCTTTATTTTTTATTTAAAAGTGTAAAGGAAAGATGGCATGCATCTCTGGGGGATTTGGTGCTCTGACATACTGGTTTACACCCACAGTTCAAAACTTGGGGGTGACTTTTTATAAGGATTTAAAGTTTGATAAATAAATAGCCTCTCGTCAAGGCCAGCTTCTTTCTAAGCTCCACATGCACATGTTGGTTGGAGTGACTGAGCCTTTGCTGCATCCAGACTTTGGAACAAGCTTCCTCAGAACTTGAGCTTCATCGCTTATCTTGGCTGGTTTTCTCCCCCGTCGCAAAAAAGAACTTGAAAAATAAGTGAAGCTTCAACTTTTAATTTTAGTGTGTGGCTGCATGCAGGTGGAAGAAAGGTTACTTTAGAAAATTGGGCTGTCATGTCAAAATCCAAGATGGCTGCTGCCGCTATTTATAGATTCATCCATTATCTTTACCCACTTCTTCCTTTTCAGGTCACGGGGGTCACTGGTGCCCATATCCAGCTGTCACTGTGCGAGAGGCGGGGGCACTGGACAGGTTTTCAGTCCATCACAGGGACACATGGAGACAAACGAGACAACCATTCACTCTCTCACTCACACCTAGGGACAATTTAGAGTTACCAATCAGCCTAACATGCATGTTTTTGACCTGTGGGAGGAAACGGGAGTACCCAGAGAAATCCAATGCAGCATGGAGAGAACATGCAAACTCCACCCACTATACATATATACAGTATATATATATATATAGTATATATATATATATATATAGTATATATGTGTGTGTGTGTATACAGGTCCTTCTCAAAAGATTAGCATATTGTGATAAAGGTCATTATTTTTCATAATGTAATGATAATAATTAAACTTTCATATATTTCAGATTCATTGCATACCAACTGAAATATTTCAGGTCTTTAATTGTTTTAATACTGATGATTATGGCACACAGCTCATGAAAACCCAAAATGCCTGTCCCAAAAAATTAGCATATCATGAAAAGGTTCTCTAAACAAGCTATTAACCTAACCATCTGAATCAACGACATAACTCTAAACACCTGCAAAAGATTCCTGAGGCTTTTAAAAACTCCCAGCCTTGTTCATTACTCAAAACCGCAATCATGGGTAAGACTGCCGACCTGACTGCTGTCCAGAAGGCCATCATTGACACCCTCAAGCAAGAGGGTAAGACGCAGAAAGGATTTGCTGAACGAATAGGCTGTTCCCAGAGTGCTGTATCAAGGCACCTCAGTGGGAAGTCTGTGGGAAGGGAAAAGTGTGGCAGAAAACGCTGCACAACGAGAAGAGGTGACCGGACCCTGAGGAGGATTGTGGAGAAGGGCCGATTCCAGACCTTGGGGGACCTGCGGAAGCAGTGGACTGAGTCTGGAGTAGAAACATCCAGAGCCACCGTGCACAGGTGTGTGCAGGAAATGGGCTACAGGTGCCACATTCCCCAGGTCATTCACTTTTGAACAAGAGACTGCGTCAGAAGCATCTCGCCTGGGACTGCTGCTGAGTGGTCCAAAGTTATGTTCTCTGATTACAGTAAATTTTGCATTTCCTTTGGAAATCAAGGTCCCAGAGTCTGGAGGAAGAGAGGAGACACAGAATTCACATTGTTTGAGGTCCAGTGTCAAGTTTCCACAGTCACTGGGGTGTCATGTCAGCTGCTGGTGTTGGTCCACTGTGTTTTATCAAGCACAGGGTCAATGCAGCTAGCTATCAGGAGATTTTGGAGCACTTCATGCTTCCATCTGCTGAAAAGCTTTATGGAGATGAAGATTTCATTTTTCAGCACGACCTGGCACCTGCTCACAGTGCCAAAACCAGTGGTAAATGGTTTACTGACCATGGTATTACTGTGCTCAATTGGCCTGCCAACTCTCCTGACCTGAACCCCATAGAGAACCTGTGGGATATTGTGAAGAGAAAGTTGAGAGACACAAGACCCAACACTCTGGATGAGCTTAAGGCCGCTATCGAAGCATCCTGGGCCTCCATAACACCTCAGCAGTGCCACAGGCTGATTGCCTCCATGCCACGCCGCATTGAAGCAGTCATTCATGCAAAAGGATTCCCGACCAAGTATTGAGTGCATAACTGAACATGATTATTTGAAGGTTGGCGTTTTTTGTATTAAAAACACTTGTCTTTCATTGGTGGGATGAAATATGCAAATTTTTTGGGACAGGCATTTTGGGTTTTCATGAGCTGTATGCCATAATCATCAGTATTAAAACAATTAAAGACCTGAAATATTTCAGTTGGTGTGCAATGAATCTGAAATATATGAAAGTTTCATTTTTATCATTACATTATGGAAAATAATGACCTTTATCACAATATGCTAATTTTTTGAGAAGGACCTTTATATAGTTGTAATTGGTAATTTCATTCTGAAGACAAAACTGGTGACAATGACTGTGTGGGATAGTGGGCGGGACTTAAATTCCCATTGACCAGATGCTGGTTCCAAAAAAAACAACTTTTAAGTAAAATCCATCACCCGTCTGCACTGGTTTCCCAGTTTATTTTCTAAACCTGATCAGAGCGACAACCTATCCTCTATTGTCGCTTCCCATCAGCGGAGTGTCAGGTCACACCAAGTGACTGCTTCACTTTGTTCAGGATGTCACAGAAGCTTACGCCTACAGGTAACACCTTGAAATGCCTTTGTGTTGTCATTTTTCTCTCATTCGTCTCCAACCTGTCTTGTCTGTTCTGGTCATTATACCTGCACCACCACTGAAGGGCAGAGGCAGACAACAATGCTCTGTAGTGTCTTGTCTGTTAACAAAATATCTTATAAACTGACCTAAAAAAAAACAGAATGTCTGTTCAGCAGGTTTTGTACTAAAAATGCATCTAGAGTCACTCACTACTTCTATTCCATTTCCTTTTCATTAGATAAAATATTAGCTTGTTAGCAAAATATTTTTTAAACCTTTAGACAGAATTTAATAAACGTTGCAGAAAGTAATCTTTGTAGTACCTGTACAGCTCATTAACTTTCGGAGCAAATTTAAATTAAGATGGCCCTGGCTATAACCAGGGGTGCGCTTAAGGGTGTCCGAAAGGGGGTCACCCCCATTAAAATTGTCTAGACAGTTTTATCCTCTTGAGTCCTAAACTTATGCTTGTTGTACATTTTTAACTTTCTTGCTCTTCAAAAAATTAGTAGAACCTCGTAAACAAACATTTATGAACAATTAGGTTAAAATATAAATATTTTATTTAAAGATAAAATGCTAAAATCTAGTGGCTTTGATTACGGACAAACGGTATAAAGACCAGTGTCCTCAACATAAGGATGCAGAATCTCAGATGGTTAAATTAGTTAAATTTCTTTATAAATATATATTTAGAAGCAGACAAGCTTTTCTCAGCAAATAACTGTAAAATAAAAACTAAAGTAGAAAGACATTGTGCTAAAGTTTGATGGGGTGGTAGCTGAGAGTCATCCCCAACACGTACTCAGAGCTCCATCATTCCAATACACCAGATGATTGTGTATGAAAGGTGGCGGGTGATATGCATTCCCTAAATAATGTAACCTTCAACTATCCGTGTTGTTCTCTGAATTACAGCTTCTTCTAAATATACCCAACACAACAAAAGAGCTCTTAATAATAGACCACATTGGTGTTGGTGTAACCTGAAACAGCAGGGCAGGTGTGTGTGAGAAGAGTGACCTCACTGCACCAGGTGTGGGCGGAGTCTGATTCCAAACGGGGATTGGGCCATCAGACCATCTCAGAATGTATAAAGCAGAAAAAAAATGACCAGCTGGGGATTATTTCTTTACAGCAGAGCATCAACGTCCATCTGATCCATGGCCACTGTTGTTCAGGTGAGCATCGTCCCTTTGTCTGCTTGTTTCTGAAATGCATATATAGATATATATATATATATATATATATATATATATATA